ACCACCTAGGGCTTCTCAGGTGGCTCAGTGGTAAAGAGTCTGCCTGCCAAGCAGGAGACACAGCTTCGGTCCCTGGGCAGGGAAGACTCCCTGCAGGAGGAAACAGCACTCCGCTCCACCGATGCTGCCTGGGACATCCCATGACCGAGGAGCCTGGCGGCTACAATCCACGTGGTCACAAAGAGTTGGACACGACTTAGTGACTAAACAACAACAAAAGTCAAACTTTCCAACTAATGAGTCAACCCTGTCACATACCTAGGCAAGACTTGCCTTTGGTCTTAGCAAGCCCTTCTTTATCTTTTCCCTCACACCCTTCAAATATCAAATGATGTAATAATGATGCAAAAAAAAAAAAGTTGGAAGCCCAATTTCATCAAGATTTAAACCTTTTATTTTGAAGTAATTACAGATTCATGGGAAGTTTGGAGAAAGAAATACAGATTAGTCCTCAGTACTCCTCACACAATTCCTCCCATTGATAACATCCTGCATCAGTATAGATTAATACCGAAACCAAGAAGTTGAAATTGCTACTATCCAGAGTTTTTCAGATTTTACCAGCTTTACACTCAACTGTACATGCATGTACAGTTCTACACAATTTCATCACATGTACAGATCTGTGTGACCATCTGCACAATTAAGATACAGAACAGCTTTAATCACACAACATTGCTTCCCACTATTATTTATAGCCTTGTCCAACACTTTTCCAGACCCCATTACAAACCTTTGAAAATCAGTAAAGCAATAAATTGTTCTTAGAGAACTGCTCTCCATAATTTAGTTTGATTCTAAGAATGGAATCACATTCCATTTGATTCCAAGAATGGAATCACACAGTGTGTAACGTTTTAGGACCAGCATCTTTCAATCTGGATAATTCTCTGAAGACCCATGCAAGCTGCATAAACTCGGTGGTTCATCCTTTCTAATGTTGAAGGGTATTCTACGTACAGGTGTACCACATGTAACCACCACCTGTCGAGGGGCATCTGGGTTGTTCACAGTGTGGGGTTATGACAATTAAAACCACTATTAAACTCTGTGCATGCGTTTATGTGTGAACATAAGTTTTTGTTAATAAGTTTTCATTAAATGCTTCATAGTTAAGTACCAATTTTAACATCAGCACTGGTAATGGTTCCTTAAAAAATGAAGATCACATTTAATCTCCACTGACTTTGTCTTTTCAATTTACCAAAATACTTTCTAAAGCCAGCATTTACTAAATGCTTCTGTTAATGAACCAAGCAGTGTACTAAGCATTTTAATTCATATCCTATGTAATCCTTGCATCAAAAATCAGCTAGGTACTGAGATTATTGCTACCTTGAAACTGAGAAAACTGAGGTATAGAAAAGATTGAGGCAGTGATCTAAAATGTCTTAAAGCTAGGATGTGAAAAGCTGGATTCAGATTCAAGTCTGGCTGATTCAAAATTCTATTCATTTCATCATTCTTGTAACATGTGTGTCATTAAATATGAAAAGCATGTATTAGAACAAAAAGCTGTTTACTTAAACTTTACATGTAACTATGACATTTTATACTGAGATTTTTTTAAATTAGAGATAATTTCTAATATGCTGCAGAAATCAACAAAATTAACCTAATAACCTAGTGGGATTTGCACAAATACTACACAAGTTAAGGTACAAGAGTAGTAGAGGATAACTCAGATAAAGTGATTGTTCAGCTTTTCTTTACACAGGTTCTTTCAGGATCACTCTTCATTAGTACTGTGGGGAAAAGAAATCCAGAACCGATGAGAAAGGAGGGAAGAGGAAGAAAGGGTAAAGGAGTATGAACGAACAGGCCCCAGCCACAAGCAACTGAAGGAGCAGGGCTGAAGTCAGAAGCGGACACACAGCCCAGCCCCCATTCCCACATGAGGAAGGATGGGCTCATTTCCAGAAGCCCCAGGGACTGGACTCATGCAAGAGTGACCACACAGGACCCAGACCCCAAGGCTGCCCACTGCCCCGGACACCAGGCTCACAGCACTCAGACCCCAGGGCTGCCTGCTGCCCCCAGACACCCAGCACACAGCACTCAGACCCCAGGGCTGCCCGCTGCCCCCAGACACCAGGATCACAGCACTCAGACCCCAAGGCTGCCCGCTGCCCCCAGATACCAGGCTCACAGCACTCAGACCCCAGGGCTGCCAGATGCCCCAGATACCCAGCACACAGCACTCAGACCCCAGGGCTGCCCACTGCCCCCAGACACCAGGCTCACAGCACTCAGACCCCAAGGCTGCATGCTGCCCCCAGATACCAGGCTCACAGCACTCAGACCCCAGGGCTGCCAGATGCCCCAGACACCCAGCACACAGCACTCAGACCCCAGGGCTGCCCACTGCCCCCAGACACCAGGCTCACAGCACTCAGACCCCAAGGCTGCCTGCTGCCCCCAGATACCAGGCTCACAGCACTCAGACCCCAGGGCTGCCAGATGCCCCAGACACCCAGCACACAGCACTCAGACCCCAGGGCTGCCCGCTGCCCCCAGACACCAGGCTCACAGCACTCAGACCCCAAGGCTGCCTGCTGCCCCAGACACCCAGCACACAGCACTCAGACCCCAAGGCTGCCTGCTGCCCCAGACACCAGGCTCACAGCACTCAGACCCCAAGGCTGCCCGCTGCCCCCAGACACCCAGCACACAGTACTCAGACCCCAAGGCTGCCTGCTNTGATGGAATTCCAGTCGAGTTAGTTCAAATCCTAAAAGTTGATGCTCTGAAAGTGCTGCACTCAATATGCCGGCAAATTAGGAAAACTCAGCAGTGGCCACAGGACTGAAAAATGTCAGTTTTCATTCCAATCCCAAAGAAAGTCAATGCCAAAGAATGCTCAAACTACTGCACAATTGCACTCATCTCACACACTAGTAAAGTAATGCTTAAAATTCTCCAAGCCAGGCTTCAGTAACATGTGAACCGAGAACTTCCAGATGTCCAAGCTGGATTTAGAAAAGGCAGAGAAACCAGAGACCAAATTGAAAAACATCCGTTAGATCACTGAAAAAGCAACAGAGTTACAGAAAAACATCTAATTCTGCTTTATTAACTACACCAAACCTTTGACTGTGTGGATCACAAAAAAACGTGGAAAATTCTTAAGAGATGGAAAGAGCAGACCATCTTACCTGCCTCCTAAGAAATCTGTATGCAGGTCAAGAAGCAACAGTTAGAACAGGACATGGAACAACAGACTGGTTTCAAATTGGGAAAGGAGTACATAAAGGCTATATATTGTTACCCTGCTTACTTAACCTCTATGCAGAGCACATCATGTGAAATGCAGGGCTAGATAAAGCACAAGCTGGAAATCAAGATTGCCAGGAGAAACAGCAATAACCTCAGATACGCAGATGACACCACATTTATGGCAGAAAGTGAAGAGGAACTAAAGAGCCTGTTCATGAAAGTGAAGGAGGAGAGTGAAAAAGCTGGCTTAAAACTCAACTTTCAAAAAAGGAAGATCATGGCATCTGATTGCATCACTTCACTGCAAATAGATGGGGAAGCAATGGAAACATTGACAGACTTTACTTTCCTGGGTTCCAAAGTCACTGCAGATGGTGACTGCAGCCATGAAATCAAAAAACACTTACTCCTTGGAAGAAAAACTATGACCAATCTAGACAGCATATTAAAAAGCAGAGACATTACTTTGCCAACAAAGGTCTATCAAGTCAAAGCTAAGGTTTTTCCAGTAGTCATGTACAGCTGTGAGAGATGGACCTTAAAGAAAGCTGAGAGCCAAAGAATTGATGCTTTTGAACTGGTGTTGGAGAAGACTCTTGAGAGTCCCTTGGACTACAAGGAGATCCAACCAGTCCATCCTAAAGGAGATCAGTCCTGGGTGTTGATTGGAAGGACTGATGTTGAAGCTGAAGCTCCATTACTTTGGCCCCCTGATGTGAAGAGCTGACTCCTTAGAAAAGACCCTGATACTGGGAAAGACTGAAGGTGGGAGGACAAGGAGGCAACAGAGGATGATGAGATGGTTCGGTGGCATCACCGACTTGACGGACATGACTTTGAGCAGGCTCAGTGAGTTGGCGATGGACAGGGAGACCTGGCGTGCTGGCGAGAGTGGGACACAGCTGTGAGGTTGAACTAACTGAACGTTTTCTGAGTTGTCACCAAATATCACGCTCTTTTCATTAATTTAACGCTAAGATCTGGCTCTTCAAATTGAGAACAATTAAATGGCTATGGTACGCAGTTTTAAAATAAAATTTAAAACTATAATGTCTATTAAGTGTAAAACAGATTTACTTCATATCTATTAGCAAGCTCAATTTCCAAATTTTATCATACATTAGAATCATCTGAGGATCTTTAAAAATTCTCTATAGCCAGGTCCCAACCACACCAACTAAATTTTTAAAAAATTGAAGATAGAAATCAGGCTACAATAATTCCTTAAAGATACTCAGGTTTGATTAGCAATGGCTATAACAAAAATTATAGCAATAAAATTATTGTGTCAAGAAAGAAAATTAAATGAATATTAGATAGGTAACTTGGGTACTATAATGTTTCAATCTAACATGATGTTTTGGGAGCACTTGAAATAAAATATTTGAAAATCTCTAAGTGTACCTACCTCGGTCTCTTTACTCATGAAAACTCTCAACTTTTCAGATACAAAACTAACACAATGAAAAGTCACAATTCACTTAATTGTTGAAACTTTTTACAAAATTATAATAATCAACTACTGAGACAACAATTCATGGATTATAATTAAATATTTCACAGAGAAACCTAGTAAGTCAACTTTCTAGGAACCTAAGGAAATAATTACAGGCGTATACAAAGTTGTATCTGTAAGACAAACTATGATATAGTATAGTTAGAAACCTATACTTATTAAAAATGGCATAAAATATTAAATGGCATATAGTTTCACATGTTATTATTAAATAAAAGTCAGTGAGAAAACATTTACAAAACGTATGAATGATAAACATGAAACCTACTTGCAACTGAACTGAATTGTGCCCAAGACCTTCCACAATAGAAGAAAATCTGTCAATTCTTCTTTCTTCTCCAGCTGATGTTAAAGCTTCTAAGACTTCTTCAAGGCTATTGGAAAATTACAAATTAAATTGCAAACAGCAAATAACCCAGGTAACTCAAAATTAGTAGCTTAACCTACTACACTCCAGAGTCACTACCTCTAGGCAAGCAATAACATTTTAAAAGTGGCTTACTGATTACATAGCACATATCAAGTACAAACCATGTTATGTATTAATTTATTCCTCATAATAACCCTATGATCATATTTATTTATCAAACATTTATATAGTGCTTACTACACATCAGGTACTATGTAAACTGTGTTATAAATATTAGTATTAGCTAGTTTTAATGTACGTCATTCTACAAAGTAGGTATTATTGCTGTTCTATACTGTAAGTTAGGAAACTGAAACAGAAAAGGGTTAAGCAATTTGTCTAAGGTCTCACATCTACTAAATGATAGCGTGCTAGAGCAAGGATCTGGATCCAGACTACTTTTAACCACTACAACCCTACTCTGCCTTGAACGTAAGTAAATGAAGTTCTGGTGGCCAAAAACACACAATAGTAAGTAATTATAGTCAAATATAAAGAATGATGACTATGTAAGAAATATACTTACTATTTCTTTAAAGAATCCTTATGCTAACAGTACCCGGTATACTGTAAAATCTCAGTTTGTGGACATAGACACTTTAGTCCTAACAGTTCTTTACATCATTTAAATAATCTATCTGAAGTCAAGAAATAATAAAAGTGATATGGAAGTGAAGGAGAAAGAGTAGAAGAGGAAGGAGGAAAAGGAGAAAGAGGATAAAGAAAGAGAAGGACAAGAAGGGAAGGAGGAAGGGACCGGGAAGGAAGAAGAGAAAAGAGAAGACACAGGATGCAGGGGAGAAGGGAGGAAGAGGAAGAACGCATGGAGACAAGAGGGCGGAGGGAGAGAGAGGCGAGGGAGGGAACAGAGGAGGCACGCCATGTTTTGACATTCAATTCATACTGGGTGGCCTTCTTAAAACGGGAAAGCGCTAAAGCTGCACGCGTGGCTCTGCAGCTGGGACTGCAGCAGACACGGCCTCATCCAGGGAGGGGCGCCGGCCAGCCGTGCCTGCTGCCTCTCCAGCGAAGTCAGCGGAGAGGGGCGACAGTCAGCAGACCCACAGGACCTGCGTGGACAAGTTTCCACTCTGCGCTGGGCGTTTCAGTGACAGGGCTCTGCCTACACTTAGAGGTCAGAAGGCCGTTCCTGTTTGCTCTGTTGGTTGTTTGAATATCTTTACCACATATAAAAGGCATGTCAAGTAATTTTTAAATGCTCTCTTGTAATAAGAATACTAACCGTTCTTAAAAAGACAAAAGGTTTATCTTTATCTTCCAACACATGTAATGGCTTTTTAGTTACAGCTTTAGAAATCGTAGATAATATCTTTAAAGTTCAAACTTTATGATACACTTTATGGTCAAAACATTGTACCCTCAACCATTACATTATCAATTATTCACTTATACTTCTATCTGAAAAAAAATCTTAAGAAACAGAACCAACTTGTATATTTTTCAAAGTCTTCATTTAGACTGTTTATTGAAGGTCTGAGTTCAAAACAGTTTAAAAATAATAAAGAATTCCATTTTTCATAGAAACATGTCAGTCCATAACTACTGTATCAATTAAGAGAAAAAAAATTTTCATTTCTGTTCAGCCAATATGAATCTAAATAAGCTGCTTAAGTATACTTCATTTATTTAAAATAAATTCTAGACTAAAATAATGAAAACATTATTGAATAAAACTGTATTAAATTACTGCGTAATGAGAGAAACAAGTTGAGGAGACTTACATGCTTTCCTCCCCTACGATGCACACTGCAGAAAGGAGCTTAACCACATCCATCATCATGCCAGGCTGCTCAGGATCAATGGCTCTGGCTAGCAAAGAAAGACTCCTCTCTTCACTCATAATTCTTTCCAAGCCATACTACAACATTTTGGGAAAAGGGGGTTAAATTTTAGTGGTTAGTTAAAAAAGATACTGCCCTGAAGAAAATGCAGTTATTAAAAAAATGTTTATAAGAAAATATACTTGCATATGTAGTAAAGTGAGAAAACATAAAGAATGTATAATATTCTAAAAAAATTCATACAACTATTCCCTTTACATTAAAAACCAAGAAAATCAATCAAATACAGATGACTGCTCACAGGAAATTTTCAGCAATATAACTGACAATTATTAGATAGGCAGGTGGCCAACAGGAGAAAGGGAGAAGCAGTGAGGAATACTGAGATTCCCCAACAGGCACGCACAAAATGCACAGGAGGAACTCTCCTGCGGGAAGGAAGGCTGGCAGGAGGTACAGAACCACAGAGCACTGTCCCAGAGAAATACCGTGTGAACCTCAGGCACTACGTAAAATGCCAAGAAAAAGTAAAACTCGTCTTAACAGAAGCATTTCAATGCATCCAAAAGGTTATCGTTTCAACATGTGATCACTACAAAACATTTACTGATGAGATAGTCTCACTTTTTCTTTTCTTCCTAAGTATTCAAAATGCAAGGTGTATTCCACACTCAGAGCACATCTCAGTTCAGAGTGGCCACATCTCAAGGGCTCAGGAGTCATGCATGGTAACCGCATTCCACAATGCAGGCCTAGACAGTAACACTTGGTTCATAAATGGGCAGAAGCTGAAGGGTGATTTGGGCTGATACCATGTAGAAACTACTGCAGGAATATATGTATTCTGATCAGAATGGTATTTTGTCATCAAAAAGACAACACATGATATTAATATAAAGGGGATGATTTTGAATGTAAACAAGGTTTGTTTGCTACTGCTGGGATGTCACATCCTCCTGGAAGATAAGGAGATATGTTAACGACTCAGTATTTTGATTTAAAGATGTATACCTCTCTTAGGGCCCACTTACAATCTATGGGAGATAAGTACCTACTAACAGAGGATGAATGAAAGCAATAAAACAGTACTATTTATTCACCATACATTCCAGAGGATCCTTTTAAAGAGTGAGAAATTAGTTGAATAGAATTACTATTAATACCAAGCTCTAAAAAGGACCTTAATTCCAATTAAACTCAAAATTAGCATTAGATATCAGTATCAAAGTTAAATCTATAACAAGCTTAGATTCAAATATTTTGAGTACTACGAAATCTTATTTATGTTTCCTATCTTGTATATGGCATTTATTTAAAGAAGCTTCACACTGTGGTGAAATATTGCACTCACTTCAAACTACTAAGGAACACAGGTACAAAGAAGGAAGTACAAACAGAAGGGCCAAGGGCCCCAGGGTATGATTTCTGAAGTGACTTCTCTATCCTGTTGGCCACAGGGAAATGTTTACAAAGAAGCAGCTGAACCAGTCAAGAAATGCTCACTTTTGTGATATCCTAGGCGGTTTCACACCTGGAAACAAAGAAAAGCAGGCATGGGGCCAGAGACTACAAAATGCATTGACAATCATTCCAGGGAATTGTCAGAGGTTTGTAAATTATCACTGAGACCCAATTCACAATCAGCCGCTGATCACCAAGTACCAAAAGCTGGCTCTGTCCTAATAACCTGCGGCTGACAGAAGCTGCCTCCAGCACTTCCCTGCCCTTCCCACACACTGGGCTGGCCGGGGCCAGCACCTGCCCTTCCCACATCAGAATGGGAGCACTCCCTGATTTCCCAGTTCCGACCACCATCCTGTGAACTCAAAGCTTCTTCACAGGCAATTTTCTCTTGACTTTGCTAATAGAATATTGGACAGTGCTTGTTTTGAGACTGGAATGAGGCAGATTACCACAACTGAGTATCTAGAGCTAAAGACTGAACTGCTGACTACTATAAAATTATTCTCATTCAATTATTTAAAAAAAAAGTAAACATAAAACAAAACCCACGGACTGTGAGAGAAACAGTTAACTTACCAGCACGGGCATTTAAAGTGCATTAAATAAAGGCTACTATAAGGTTAGAGAGATGATGGCAAATTATGGAAGGTCTGAGAATGTCTCTCCACTGAATGTCAAAGATCCACTCCAGATTATAGGAAAACACATGCGTTCTAAACTAAGAACCAGTGCCAAGTTCCATTTGAATTCTACTTGAGGCCTATTATTACTTAATGGAATTTCGGGCCACTGAAGTTGTGTTCGACAGGGGAAGGTGAATCCCCTAAATCCTATGTAGAATGCCTAACACATGAACACTGGTGCTGAATAACTATCTACAATGAGTTAATCCCAGCAGCAAAGAGGAAGAGACTGGCTTCAGGAACAAGGCAAGCTAGCCGAGTGCCTTAAGAAACACATCAAAAGCTATCTTGGCTTTTATTTTCTCATAAATAATCAAAATCTTCTTCTAGTTAAAAGCTACTATAAACTTCAATTTAGTATTTACCTGCATGCAATGCTATTAGATTTGCTCATAATATCAATTATATAATTAATTACTAGCACCAAATAAGGTATCATACTTGTTTTTTCTCTTAAAGACTGTATTTTTCATCATTCAATTAACTTTTATACAGACTTCAGAGTAGGTACGGGAAAAAAAAAAATTAAACCANGAGGTTAAAAATATTTCATTGGCTAAAAACAGAAATTTAGACTTCAGAAAATAATGAAAAATTCATAAATAGTCCAGTAAGAAAAATAATTAGAAAATGCAACTATTTGCTGCATTTAATCAATAGAAAAGTAAATGTTAACACTTTAGTACATACTTAAGTATGAAGTTCTCTAAGGATTTATTTTTAAACTGAATTTTTAAAAATTATCAGAAGTATACAGTTTTTCTATAAAACACACATCATCATCTACCATAGGTAAAATTCCCTCTCCCACTGTCTAATGGGAAAACATCTATCATTGATCATTGCATACGATCAGGAGGTAGATGCATTTATATGTTAGAGCTAGAGATACATCCTGGAACAGAGCTAACTTCTGTAATTAACAGTATGAAAGAAAGGAAACACTGTAAGAGAAACCAAACTTCAGTACAGGGCAAAACCATTTCTCTCTTCTAACGTATGCTCCTTAAATATTCAAACTGCAGATCCGCCATATAATATTGGGTTTCAATATTACAGCGGACACTGGCACATCACAGGGACTAGGGGCACCAACTCCTCAGGCAGTCAAAAATCTGAAGATAATATCTGATTCCCCAAAAACTTACTTACTTAGCCTACTCTTGATTCCTTACCAATAACATAAACAGTCGATTAACATATTTTGTATGTTAAATGCATTATATATTTTTTAAATAAAGTAGAGAAAAGAAAATGCTATTGAAAAAACCATAAGCAAGAGAAAATTCTTTTACAGTACAAATATGTATTTATTTTTAAAAATCCTCATGTAAGTGGATCAGTGAAGTTCAAACATGCATTGTTCAAGCAGTAGCTGCACTTGCATTAAGCATCATTGCTCCACCTCTGAGATCTATTCACATCTGTTCACATTAATTTCATTAAAGATTTAAATTCCTAGACTATAAAAACTAAGTTTTTCCAACTTAATTCTTTGGTAATAGTATTACTGAAGATCATATTTAATAATCATGTATGATTTCTAAGCTGATTCATGCTATACTTTTGAAAATTAAAAAAGAAGGAAGGGAAGAAGAAAGGGGAAACAAAACGCAGACAGATAGCAAGGTACTGAGGTAGGGAGGAAGGACAGAAGGAAAAGAAAATTAATCTGTATACGAAGGATGAAGCAGCAGAAGAGGGTCTATTCACCCTCAACTATCTCCAGGTACATATTTCATACAAAACTAGAAACAACACAATTCAATATCTTCCCCTTATATACTGAACAGCGTGTCAAAGCAATACATCACTTCGGTGCAAATTCTGCATTACATAACTCTACTTCATAAGAATTTCTGTAAGAACTAATAAAGAACAATACAGCTACCTATGTGCATACCTGGGTATTCATCAAGGCCTTCAGACACTGTATGACTTTGTGCTGATTCTTCTTCACAATTGTTTCTTGTCTGTATGAAAGATATCAGTGTTGGAATCATCATTGGACATTCAAATGTAGCTTGACTAGAAATAATGATTAGCAATACTTACATTTTGCCACTAATCAGCTTTTCCAAGATGTCGAGTAATAATCCAAGCCCCTCATGTCCAAAGCTTTCCACCCAACTGAAAAAGAGAAAAACCGACAGTCATATATTAAATCAGTATTCTAGTTTAGAATATAACGATAATGATATATACTCACAAATATTTGTACTTGTGATAATCTAGTCATAAATACAACAAAAGAATAACACTGTATATAAAGGTATTCATGATTCACAATCTTAGTTGTGAAAGAAGCAACAATGATGGGACAGCCAATGGGATGCAGACCCCAACTTGCACTCAGCTTTGTGAGAGCTTAGCGTGCCCAGCTCATCCATACCCCAAGTCCACTGACATCACATAAGCAGTTAAAACCTGCCATGTTGGAAGTACTGACACGACAGAAGCGGCTAACGCCGCTGGTCAGAGCACCGCCTCTCCCAGAGAGCTGGCAGTTAAACATTCACCAGCTCACCACTGGGCAAGCCTCAGTCTGGACTGTTCCAAAGAGCAGACACTGGGCAAGGGAGCAACATTTGAAGAGAGAGGACTCTGGTCTACATAAAGAAAAAGATTACTGAAAAAATTTGTCAAAATACTGTAAAAACCACATTCTATGAGAATTTCCCGAATCACTAAAATACATCCTTATACATGTTAACAATTTCTTAAAATTTCAAACTTCAACTATATTTTTTAAAAAGCTTCATTTAAAAAAAAGCTTCATTATCATTTTTAAATGAGTATTTCCATCTTGACACAACCACCTCCATTCTGTAAACCCATTAATATAATCACAGTATGTATGGAGCTGGGGCTTCCACTGGTGGCTTAATGGTAAAGAATCCACTTGGCAATGAAGGAGATGTGGGTTCGATCCCCGGGTTGGGAGGATTCCCTGGAGAAGGATATGGCCACCTACTCGAGTATTCTTGTCTAGAAAATCCCTTGGACAGAGGAGCCTACAGTCCATGGGGTTGCAAAGAGTCAGACACGAATGAGTGACTTCATTTTCACCTTCACTTAGCAACTAAAGAACAACATGTATGTAATTAGGCTAATTCTGCCAACAGACAACAGCTCACACCTATTATAGTAAAACTACCCTAGGAGAATAAGTGCCGTTCTGGAAAACCTAGCACAATAAATAAAACAACGGTAACAATTAATCTTCTAAAAAGTGGGGGAAAAAAAATATAATATGAAGTATATGTATATTTCTTTGAATATATGTGCTTGTATATATGTTTGTATGTATGATTTTATGCAAGTGTGGGGGAGTAGTCTTCAAAAAACAGAATGTTAATAACCGTAATCAGAAGCAGGATGCTATTAAGAATAAAAAAATTTAAGCCATATACCAAGACATAATGCCATTTCCTTACTTAACACACAATAGTACATTTCTTAGAAAAGTTAAGAATAAACATCAAACAAAACATATTTGCATGAAAAAAATATTACTTTAAAAATTCCATTTTCTTCATTTGTATATACAACCATTAGGGTGAACATAACTTAATCAACTACAAATATTCAGTTTCTGATTTCAGTTCACTTCAGTCACTCAGTCGGGTCC